TCCTAGCGACCCTATAGGACAGACTACAACTGCCCTGAAGAGTTCCCTAGGCTGTAATCTTTAAGGAGCAGATTGCCAGGTCTTTTCTCCTGTGGAGCCACTGGGTGGGTTCCAACCTTCAACTTTTCAGTTAACAGTGGTGCTACTGTGGCTTCTTGAGAGAAGGTAATGTTGTTGTTGTTAGGTGCTTTGGAGTGATACGACTCATAGCAACCCTATGTACAACAGAATGAAACACTGCCCAGTCCTGCACCATCCTCACAATGGTTATGCTTAGGCCCATTGTTGAAGCTACTGTGTCAGTCCATCTCGTTGAAGATCTTCCTCTTTTTTGCTGATCCTCTACCTTACCAAGCATGATGTCCTTCTCTAGGAGCTGGTCCCTCCTCATAACGTGTCCAAAGTACAACAGACAAATTCTAGCCATCGTTGCTGCTAAGCACCATTCTGGCTGTACTTCTTCCAAGACAGATTTGTTCGTTCTTCTGGCAGGCCATGGTATAGTCACTATTCTTCCTCAACACCATAATTCAAAGGCATCAATTCCTCTTCAGTCTTCCTTATTCATTGTTGAGTTTTCGCATGCATATGAGGTGATTGAAAATACCTTGGCTCAAGTCAGTCACACCTTAGTCTTCAAAGTAACCTCTTTGCTTTTTAACACTTTAAAGAGGTCTTTTGCAGCAGATTTGCCCAGTGCAATACGTTGTTTGATTTTTTGACTGCTGCTTCCATGGGTGTTGATTGTGGATCCAAGTAAAATGAAATCCTTGACAACTTTAGTCTTTTCTCCATTTATCATGATGTTGCTTATTGGTCCAGTTGTGAGGATTTTTGTTTTCTTTTTGCTCAGGTGTAATCCATACTGAAGGCTGTAGTCTTTGATTTTCAGCAGTAAGTGCTTCAAGTCCTCTTCACTTTCAGTAAGTAAGGTTGTGTCCTCTGCATATCGCAGGTTGTTAATGAGTCTTCCTCCAATCCTGATGCCCCGTTTTTCTTCATATAGTCCAGCTTCTCGGATTATTTGCTCAGCATACAGATTGAATAAGTAAGGTGAAGGATACAACCCAGATGCAAACCTTTCCTGATTTTAAACCACTCAGTATCCCCTTGTTCTGCTTGTACGACTGTCTCTTGGTCTATGTATAGGTTCCTCATCAGCACAATTAAGTATTCTGGAATTCTCATTCTTCACAATGTTACTCATAATTTGTTATGATCCACACAGTTGAATGCGTTTGCATAGTCGGTAAAACACAGTTAAACATCTTTGTGGTATTCTCTGCTTTCACCCAAGACCCATCTGACATCAGCAATGATATCCCTGGTTCCACATCCTATTCTGAATCCGGCTTGAACTTCTGGCAGTTCCCTGTCAATGTACTGCTGCAATTGCTTTTGAATGATCTTCAGCAGAATTTTACTTGTGTGTGACATTAATGGTATTATTTGGTAATTTCCACATTCTTTTGGATTACCTTTCTTTGGAATGAGTACAAATATGGATCTCTTCTAGTCGCTTGGCCAGGAAGCTGTTTTCCAAATTTCTTGTCATAGATGAGTGAGCCTCTCCAGCACTGCATACTTTTCGTGAAACATCTCAGTTGGTATTCTTTCAATTCCTGGAGACTTTTTTTTCCACCATTCCCTTCAGTGCAGCTTGTACCTCTTCCTTCAGTACCATCGTTTCTTGATCACATGCTACTTCCTGAAATGGTTGAACATCGACCAGCTCTTTTTGGTACAGTGACTCTGTGTATTCCTTCCATCTTCTCTTGATTCTTCCTGCGTCATTCAGTATTTTCCCTGTAGAATCCTTCAATAGTGCAGCTTGAATTATTTCTTCAGTTCTTTCAGCTTGAGGAATGCCAAGCATGTTCTTTCCTTTTGATTTTCTAACTCCAGGTCTTTGCACATTTCATTATAATACTTTACTTTGTCTTGAGCTGCTCTTTGAAATCATCTGTTCAGCTCTTTTACTTCATCATTTCTTCCATTAGCTTTAGCTACTCTTCGTTCCAGAGCAAGTTTCAGAGAGTCTTCTGACTTCCATTTTGGTCTTTTCTTTCATGTCTTTTTAATGACCTTTTGCTTTCTTCATGTATGACGTCCTTTATGTCATTCCACAGCTAGTCTGGTCTTCGATCATTAATGTTCATTGTGTCAAATCTATTCTTGAGATGGTCTCTAAATTCAGATGGGATGTATGAGGTCGTATGTTGGCTCTGGTGGACTTGCGCTAATTTCTTTCAGCTTCAACTTGAACTTCCATAGGAGCAAGTAAAGATCTATTCTGCAGTTGGCCCCTGGCCTTGTTCTGATTGATGATACTGAGCTTCTCCATCATCTCTTTCCACAGATGTAGTCGATTTGATTCTTGTGTACTCATCTGGTGTGGTCTGTGTGAATAGTCGCCATTTATGTTGTTAAAACAGGTATTTGCAATGAAGAAGTCATTGGTCTTGCAAAATTCTATCATGTGATCTCTGGCCTCATTTCTATCACCAAGGCTGTTTTTTCCACCTACTGATCCTTCTTTGTTTCCAACTTTTGCATTCCAGTCACCAGTAATTATCAATGCATCTTGATTGCATGTTTGATTAATTTCAGACTGCAGAAGTTGGTGAAAGTTGTCTATTTCCTCATCTTTGGCATTAGTGGTTGGTGCTTAAATTTGAATAATGGTCATATTAATTGGTCTTCCTTGTAGGTGTATGGATATTATCCCCTCACTGACTGCATTGTACTTCAGGATTGATCTTGAAATGTTCTTTTTGAGCGTGAGTGTGATGCCATTCCTCTTCAATTTGTCATTGCTGGCATAGTAGACCATATGATTGTCCAATTCAGAATGGTCAATACAGGTCCATTTCAGCTCACTAACACGTAGGATATCGATCTTTATTTGGTCCCTTTCACTTTTGACGACTTCCAGTTTTCCTAGATTCATACTTTATACATTCCATGTTCCAATTATTAACGAATGTTAGCAGCTGTTTCTTCTCATTTTGAGTCAAGTCATCTCAGCAAATGAAGGTCCCGAAAGTGTCCATCCACGTCGTTAAGGTCAACTCTACTTTGAAGAGGCAGCTCTTCCCCAGTTGTATTTAGAGTGCCTTCCAACCCGAGGGACTCATCTTCCGGCACTATATCAGACAATATTCTGCTGCTATTCATAGGTTTTCATGGGTCTGTTTTTCCAGAAGTAGACCACCAGGTCCTTCTTCCTAGTCTGTCTTAGTCTGTAAGCTCCACTAAAACCTGTCCACCATGGGGTGACCCTGCTGGTATTTGAAATACCGGTGGCAAAGTTTCCAGCGTCACAGCAACATACAAGCCACCACAGTACAACAGTCTGACAGAGGATCTGACAGATGTGTAGGGTAATACTGATGGCCATTTCAGAGCTTGTCTTTTTTTAGTTTTTGTTCAAGTCACTGCAGCAGAATATTACCAGATTTGGAGTCTTCAGGTTAAGAGAAGGTGGAAATTTGAATGACAATTGGGGTTTGCTGGAAACATACAATTGGCACTTAAGTTAGTTTCTTCCCTGCCCTGCTGTCCCCTTAAAAGCTCAGTTTTGGACAAAGGAAGTATGGAAAATGAACATTCAGACACATTGGGAATACCAGATGTGGGCAGGAGCAGGGTCAGGTGTTGGCACTTTTGCTTTGGTTCCCAGTTGTGCCTGATGACAGGAAGAGGGCCCAAGGCTTCTCCCTGGTGCGGTATTAGCATCGATGGGGTTAGAGAGGTAATGTTTGTATCAAGTATTGTGCACTGTGATGAACATGAATCTCTGCTGTTATCAGCAGATAAAGGGTATGACACACTATCTCATGACTGCACCTAAGTTGTTGCATCCGTTGTGAATTTATGCCACCACAGAGAAAGTATTTAAAGTTATAGAAGGCCAATTCAAATCCAAATCATTAATTAGAAGAATACAGAGGAATATAAATAATATAAAAGTTACCCATTACCCAGAAACTTTTGGTGTCCTCTATTTCCTTCCAGTCTGTCTAATTACGCTTACATTTACCTTTCTTCCCAATTTACATAACTAAGACCAAATTATATTTTTAGTTTTATATCTTCCTTCTTTTAACTTAATACATATATATCCATGACATTACAATGATTTTTTTTAATTAACACCTTCATTAATATCCCACCATGGACATGACAGAATCTGTGAACTTGGCCTTAGATTATGGCTTTGACATATGTGAAGGTTTCTAGAAAGAGAACTGAAGGTCAGAAGTGCTTGTGTTTGAGACTTGTATGCATGTTTGTAGGTGGCTTGATTTATCACCTTTTATGTTAAGATTTCATGTTATTCTGAACATGCTCCTTCTCTTCAAGAGTATAAAAATATTCAACCACCTTTTCTTGTTTCATTTTGTGATTGAATTTATCATATGGAATTATTTTCAAATTATAAAATAATACATACAAGCCCATACAACAAAGCAGCAGTACAGAGATGTAGGCAAAGACTAATAACACTTTTTCTGATTTCTTGCCCAAGAAATAATTAAAGTGAACAGTCGTGTGTTTCCATCCCCACTTGCTCTGTGCTCACAAACAAGTATTCAGATACATGTTTTCCTGCATTTCTGGTTTGGCAAAAATAGGACCATATTATAAACATTGCTATTCAATATTTTCACTTGTTATTAGAAACACACAAAATAAATGTGAGGGTCCATCAAATAAATACTCAAGTTTTTTTGTGTGGACATATTTATTCACTGGAGTCCTTGGGTGGTGCAAACGATTAAAACTCTTGGCTGTTAACTCAAAGGCTGAAGGTTCAAGTCTACCCGCAGGCACTTTAATTCCAAAAATAAGTCATTAAAAACCCTGTGGAGCTCAGTTCTACTACGATACACATGGGGTTACGATGAGTCGGAATTGAACGGAGGGCAACTGGAGTATTTGCTCATTGACAAAAAGCCTATATTTATGTAACATTGTTTTAAAATCCATTGTTTTAGGCTCACCATCATGGATACCCTATCAGAAGCCAATGGCACATTTGCCTTAAACCTACTGAAAAAGCTGGGGGAAAACAACTCAAAAAATATGTTTATTTCACCCATGAGCATCTCCTCTGCCCTGGCCATGGTCTTCATGGGTGCAAAGGGAAACACTGCTACCCAGATATCCCAGGTAATGAAAGCCATTTTAAGGCAACTGTAAATGCTCTTAAGTTGTCAGCTGAGCAGGTCTTTCAATTTCTAATTCCAAAGACATTGCTCTTAGCAGATAACTTTGCTAGTGTCGCAGGGATGTGAAGGGAGAGTTGTCAGGATAGAAGTTGTCTCCACTGCTAGACGACCCTGTGGTGACTCCGGGGGCCTTTCCTGTGGATGCTGCTGATCTGTTAGGAGTAGAGTGTTAGACTTTTACTCAGATGATTTATCACCACATTGTGATGATACATGAGTTTGTAAGTAGACATAAAGACTTATGTCAAAGTTGATTCATGTGATATTGCAGGATTTATGCACTTAAAAGAAATATCTGCTCTCCTCACAGCCACACGTATATCCAACATACAATGGTGAGACTGGGAGGGAGGACTGTAATGGACACGCCCATTCACAAAGGGCAGGAGTGTGGGCTGGTGTGTGGGAGGCATGTAGCAGTCATTGAACAACCCCAAACGAACAAACAGACAAACCAAACCCATTGCTGTTGAGTAGATTCCAACTCATAGCGACCCTATTAGACAGAGTAGAACTGCCCCATCGGGTTTCCAAAGCTGTAGTCTGGAGATTTAGCAGTAGTTAAGCGCTTGGTTTAACTACTTAAAGGTCGGCGATTTGAACCCACCAGGGACTCCACGGGAAAAAAGACCTGACAGTGTGCTTCTGTAAAGATTACAATAGCTTTGGAAACACTATGGGGCAGTTCTACTCTGTCCTGTAGAATCGCAATGAGTCAGAATCGATTCCACAACAATGGTTTGTACTTTATCTTACACAGCTAAAACAAGTCAATTGACACTAGGTACATTCTTCCTGTAAATCTCCTTAGCCCGATCCATGAGTTCACTGGGGAAATTTTCTATTTTTCCTGTTACTTCTGGTGACAGCCTCACTAGTTCTTGTGCTAATACATGACATGGGTCCCCATTTCTCCAGCCTCCGTAGTAATGTCCTCACTGTACTTCCAGCCTCCAAAAGCAGTTGCCAGACTACTTTCCTTTCAACCTTTGCCAGCCACTTTGTTCCCAAGACAATGCCATATGTGTTAGATTTTTATTATGGGAGAACTCCACTTCTAAGTACTGTTGCTATATGTATTACCTTTTTGTGCACAACAAACATCCCAAAACTTTGTGGCTTAAAATAACAATGATTGATTTTTTTTTTAGATTCTGTGGGCTTGACTAGGAGCCCTGGTAGTGCAGTGGTTAAGCACTAAGAGTTCGAACCCACCATGTTGCTCAGTGGGAGAAAGATGTGGCAGTCTGCTTCTGTAAAGATTTATAGCCTTGGAAACGCTTTGGGGCAGTTCTGCTCTGTCCTATAGGGTCGCTATGAGTTGGAATCGATTCGATGGCAGTATGTTTGGTTTTGGTGCATTGACTGGGCGGTTCTTCTGTTCCATATGGGTCAGCTGGGGTCATTCATCTGATGGTTTGGCTGGAGGGTACAAGGAGGCTTCTCTCACAAGTAGGGGCCTTGGTGCTGGCTATAGGCTTGGTACTGGCTTCCCCTACAACCAGCTCTCTCTATGTGGTGTCACGTCCTCCAGGGCCTTTCCACCTGGCCCCTCCAGCAGGACAGCTTGGACTTGTTACACCATGACCACCAGATCATAGAAGAGTGAGAATGGAAGCTGCCGGGCCTTTTAAGGACTAGGTCTGCCACAGCTTAGCTTCTGCTTCATTTTGATGATCAAAGCAGGTTTCAGGGTCAGCCCAGATCCAAGGGGAGGGGAAAGAGACTCTACCTTTTGATGTCAGGAGTGGATGTATAAGCAAAAATGGAGGGCAGGTTGGCACCCATGTTTGCAGACAGAGTACCCCAAGTAGTGAGAATAAATACCCTAGTCATTCTGTTAGGGTGTGAGACAGGGCATTTCTATTTATACCAACACTTAGAAGCCCTAGTGGCATAGTGGTTGAAGTGCTCTGTTGCAAATCGAAAGACTGGCAGTTCGCAGTCACCAGATGCTCCTACGGAGAAAGATGCAACAATCTGCTTCCATAAAGATTTACATCCTTGGAAACCCTAGGGGGCAGTTATACACTGTCCTGTAGGGTCGCTATGAGTCGGAATGGACTCAACAGTGAAGTGTAGTGGGTTTTAGAAGATTCTGGCTTCCTGCAGGTTATGGTTATTGGAAGGCCTTAGAAGAGTTACAGGAAGGGGAACTGGCTGACTTTGGAGACACTTTCCATCTTTAATGGGATTAATCAATGTTCAAGCTGTAGTATGACTGCAAAGTTCATAGTGTTGAGTTTAGTGTGGCACCCATTTCTTGAAGTCAGGGAGTACTGAAGATGTGTGTGTCCATTGTTTTTGATTGCAGGCACTTTCTTTCAATAAAGTCAGAGGCGGAGGTGGAGATGTTCACCAAGGTATCCAGTCACTTCTCACTGAAGTTAACAAATCCGGCTCTCAGTACTTGCTTAGAACTGCCAACAGGCTCTTTGGAGAAAAGAGTTATGAATTCCTTTCAGTAAATCATACTTATTGTTTTTCACTAAGGAAATAAAGATAACAAGGTGGTGGGGAGGAAGGGATCATGTGGTATAGAACCAAGAGGAGAGTGTGGGCTGTGACGTCACACACTTGACACCAATTCAGGTCTCCATTCATGAACCACATTCAACTCCTTCAGCTGTTTCAGTTTAGTCATCTGTAAAATGGGCCTTATAACAAATACTGTCCAAGTTTATGTGAAACTTAAATGAGATAATATTTACAAAAGAAATAACATGGAGCATAGTGCAATTTGAGATGAATTGGCTAAAACAACAAAGTGGGCATAGTGAATATTTCTAGTCACTGTTTTGTAAAATTGAAGTTTTTTTGTGCTTTGTGAGACTTGCTCAACTTTTTACACATTTAAATATTTTGATTGATTTTTCAAACAAAATTTTATTTTATTTGTTTTAGTTTAGTTTTGGCTAATTATACAGTCTGTATTTGTTTGAGAATGCTTTTATAATTTTTTATTTTAAAAATACTACTCAAGTAATCTGTGGGTATATTCTTGCTGTATATAAATATACATAATGCAGACAAAAAAGAATCCTCATCAGCCTCTTTCCCACACACCATCAATCCCCTCCCCAGTCTTTTATGGATTTGATGTGTATCCTCATGCACATACAGAATTTTTTTCATGAAGTTTTTTCCACATAATGGAAATCATAATATCATACTTTGTTCCATTAGGCTGTATGCCTTTTTCTTATAGATGTATAAGGATTGTTGTATGTTTGGAATATCTGTGCTATTTTGCCATATTTTTTATTGTTTTTCAAACATGTTTCAGACTCTAAATTGTTTCAAAACAACTTGGTATAAAGTGACTACAGTCAACCATAGGTGAAATATTGGTAAGATTTGCATACCATAGTGTGATTTTTACAACTTATTTTACTTGTTTTTATCTGTCTTGTCTACTTGGTAGGTTATCATCTTTTTTATAAGCCTTCTATATAAAAAAAATAATAAAACTTCCAACAAACACAAAGGATGGGCTGATTTTCTTTTACTTTCACTGTATTTTTCTTCATTTTTGGTGGTTATTTTCAGAATTGGTACTTAAAATGTGATTTGATATTGGAGTAGAAAAAAAAGAGATTATACATGTTGGTGAATTATTTCTCATTAATTTAGTGTCCCCAAAATCCAGTAGCATTAGCTGTATATGATTAAATGTTACTCAATTTTGATTACTGATTGCTGTAAAATAATAACTTAAATAGCATACAATTATTTTCAAATGTGCTTAAAAGTTGTAAATAATCACCCAAGGGTGCAACAAGCTATCAATATGTGAGTGACCACTTTGCTTTCAGATTATTTTCTTAAAATGAGAGATTTAAAAAGTTTTCAAAAGCAATGATAAAGAACCAGAGCCAGGAAAATTAGAAAAGTGTGAAGTATATAAAGATGAAATGACATGATGCAGTAGACCACTTAGTACAAAGCCTGGAACATACTGACGGTTCAACAATGTTACATACAAATGTAATAATAGTAGTTTATTTGGTCCTTAAAGTAACCTTATGAGGTGTAGATACTGGTGCATCCTCGTTTTACAGTAGAGAACATGGAGACTAACCAAGGTTACACAGCTAGTAAATTGCAGAATTTGTGTTGATAAGTACTGTGTCATATTGCTTCTCTATGCTATTGCTAGGTTTTTGCTAGGTACTGTCGAGTCGGTTTCGACTCATAGCAACCCCATGTACAACAGAATGAAACTCTGTCTGGTTCTGCGCCATCCTCACAATCATTGTTATGCTCAAGCCCATTGTTGCAGCCCCTGTGTCAGTCCACCTTGTTAAGGATCTTCCTCTTTTTTGCTGAACGTCTACTTTACCAAGCATGATGTCCTTTCTCTAGGGACTGATACCTCCTGATAACATGTCCAAAGGCTTTGGTGAAAAACAAGGCTACAGAAATTGACAGAAAACCAACTGAGATGTTTCAACAAATGGACGTTCACTTGTCTATGCCAAGAAATTTGGAAGACAGCTACCTGGCCAACTGACTGGAAAAGATCCATATTTATGCCTATTCCCAAGAAAGGTGATCCAACTGAATGCAGAAATTATCGAGCAATATCATTAATATCACACACAAGAAAATTTGCTGAAGATCATTCAAAAGCAGCTGGAGCAGTATATCTACAGGGAATTGCCAGAAATTCAAGCTACATTCAGAAGAGGACATGGAACCAGGGATATCATAGTTGATATCAGATGGATCCTGGCTGAGAGCAGAGAATACCAGAAAGATGTTTACCTGTGTTTTATTGATTATGCAAAGGCATTTGTCTGTGTGGATCATAATAAATTATAGATAACATTTTGAAGAATGGGAATTCCAGAACACTTAATTGTGCTCATGAGGATCCTGTTCATAGATCAAGAAGCCATCACTCAAACAGAACAAGGGGATACTGAGTGGTTTAAAGTCAGGAAAGGTGTGCGCCAGGGTTGTATCCTTTCACCATACCTATTCAGTCTGCTTGCTGAGCAAATAATCCGAGAAACTGGACTATATGAAGAAGAACGGGGTATCAGGATTGGAGGGAGACTCATTAACAACCTGTGGTGTGCAGATGACACAACCTTACTTGCTCAAAGAGAACTTGAAGCACTTATTGATGAAGATCAAAGACTACAACCTTCAGTATGGATTACATCGCAACATAAAGAAAAAATTCTCACAACTGGACCAATAAGCAACATCATGATAAACAGAGAAAATATTGAAATCGTCAAGGATATCATTTTGCTTGGATCCACAGGCAACGTCCAAGGAAGCAGCAGTCAGGAAATCAAATGGCATCTTGCATTGGACAAGTCTGCTGCAAAAGACCTGTTTAAAGTGTTAAAAAGCAAAAACGTCAGTTTTAGGACTAAGGTGCACCTGACCCAAGCCTTGGCATTTTCAGTCGCTTCATATAGATGGGAAAACTGGACAATAAATAAGGAAGACCGAAGAATTGTTACCTTTGAATTATTGTGTTGTGGAAGAATATTGAATATACCATGGACTTCCAAAAGAATGAACAAATCTGTCTTGGAAGAAGTACAGCCAGAACGCTCCTTAGAAGCAAGGATGGCTAGACTATGTCTCACATACTTTGGACATACCATCAGGAAGGATCAGTCCCTGGAGAAGGACATCATGCTTGGTAAAGTACAGGGTCAGCAAAAAAGAGGAAGACCTTCAACAAGATGGATTGACACAGTGGCTCAACAATGGGCTGAAACATAGCAACAGTTGTGAGGATGGCACAGGACTGGGCAGTGTTTCGTTTTGTTGTACATAGGGTTGCTATGAGTTGGAACTGACTCGATGGCACCTAACAAACACAACATCCTTACAGAACATTCAGGTGTGTGTTGCTGAACTAGAATTACATATTGTCCCATGCTGTTATGGAACAACAGGCCCTAGTTTACAGGCTGTTGTTCTGAAATGCAGAGGGAGCTGGGCCATCTCTGTTCTCCCTCAACGAAAGCAGCAGGTTTTCCCAGGATACTGTAGTTTCAGCTTCTCAGTGTCTTTTCCTGATCTCATGGAAGCACAGCTCCTCCCTCAAAGGACCCAGCAGTTCATGAAGATTAGTTGATATTCAGACCACTATTTCATTTAGTGTATAAGCTACGATTAAATTAAGCTGAAAACTAGGAATGTGGAGTTCAGATTAATTGCTTGTGTTTATTTGGAAATTATATGTGTAAATCATGTAATAATCAATGTTCTGATTTATCACAATGAAGAAGTAAGCTACTGGTGGACTGTGTTTGTAGCTGTGCACTGATGTTGCTCCGTCTACCCTAGTCTTTTAGAGATTCTTGCCGCACATTCTACCAGGCTGAGATGGAAGAGCTCAACTTTGCTAATGCTGCAGAGGAGTCCAGAAACCACATAAACACCTGGATAGCCGATAAGACAGAAGGTGAAAACACATTTTTATTCTTTTTAAATATTTTAATCATCTTATTTTTAGTTCCTTCACAAGACAGTCAGATGTGAACAGGAGTGCTTTTATTCTGTAAGTAACTGCGTAAACTTTAAAAATTGTTTCTAACATATTGTCAAGGTATGACTTTTTGTCTAGCTGTTCCTTGCTCTCATCAAATATCCGTGGTTTTTCTCAGCATTCGGTAGACGTCCTCCATAACATTCCATGCTTTGGTATAGTTTTTTTTTTTTTTTTTTTCCATAGTCCTAGCTTCTTGGTTTTTTTTTTTGTATAGTTTTTTTTTTTTTTTTTTCCATATAGTCTTTCTTTTCACCAATTGCATAAAGGAAAGTTGGCACTGCTGAGGGGTTTGGGCTGTCCTCCTGCAGCAGTACCCGTGTTCCACAGCATGTCCACGCAGTCTTGCAGATGCTCACCAAGCCTTTGTCTACCTTCTGTTCTTAATTTAAACTGTTCTTTACACTTGCTACAACCTCTCCCACTTTTGACCATCCTTTCAGTTCCTTTCCTTAAGTCATAGGCACCAGTCATTGCTTTCTATCTCATGTGCTAGCAATTCATCCTGCTCCTATTAATATCTATTGTTCATTTCATGTGTTTTATTCAAATTGTGATATTTTTCTTACCAGATCTCGACACTCTACTTCAGGTAGTTGTTGCTCTTGTTTTAAGGACATACATCCCTTTACCTGGTTATATTCTGGAGAGCAGTGAAATCCTTTCATCTGTGTTCCTGACTACTGTATTAATTGCCATGTGTTGCCATAACAAATTTCCACAAATTGGTAACTTAAAAGTACAAAAATTTATTCTCTCACAGTCCTGGAGGTGAGAAGTCTGAAATCAATGTGTTAGTAGGGTCATTCCCTCTCAGGAGGCTCTAAGGGAAAGTTCTTCCTTGTCACTTGTAGCTTCTAGTAGCCACAGGCGTCCTTGGCTTGTGTCAGCATAACTACAGTTTCTGCCTTCATGTTCATGGGACCATCTTCTCTTTGTGTCTATCTGTCTGTGTCTGTACTTTTCTTTTTATGAGGACACTGATCATTAGATTAGTCCCCACCCTACTTCAGTATGACCTCATGTTAACTTAGTATATCTGCAAAGACTGTATTTACAAAGAAGGTCATTTTCACAGATACTGGGTGCTAGGATTTGAACATATATTTTTAGGGAACACAATTTAACTGATACAACTACTAAAGGTATTTAATTATCATTCCTAATGCATGAATCTGGAAACCATTTCAGCTAACTGGTTCTTTAATTCTTCTTTACAGGTAAAATTACAGAGGTGCTGTATTCGGGGTCAGTGGATTCGCTGACTAAGCTGATTCTCGTCAGTGCCATCTACTTCAAAGGAAATTGGCACAAGCACTTTAACAAAGAGCATACCAAGGAAATACCCTTTAAAATCAGCAAGGTGAATATTTTTCAATAACAATAGAGATTTTTGGAAACAGTTTCTGTGTTCACATTGGGTTCAAAACATGCAAGAGGGTCAGTCTCAAGTAACTTTTACTTAACATTGCCCTTGGGTAGCCCGGTAGCTCAGCACCAAGCCTGGGGCCTTTCTCTTATCCTTTTCCTAAGTTATGTCTCACCAAAGGTGGCTGCATACACGTAGCCTCCTGTTCTGACTCCGTATGATGGCTAAGGTTGTGTGTCCACTTGGGTGAGCCATGATCCTCAGTGGTTTGGCAGTTAAGATGTAGTTTGGCAGTTATGTAATGATATAATTTGGCAGTTTTGTAATGATGTAATCAACTCTATGATAAAATCTGCTATGAGCAGCCAATCAGTTGAAAGGGAGTTTCCTTGGGGTGTAGCCTGCCTCCAGTATATAGATGGATCTTCCAGCAAAGCTCTTGCTCTGGATCCTGCATCAAGCTTATCATAATCTGACCTCCAGTTCTTGGGACTTAAGATAGCAGCTTACCTGCCAGTCTTGGGATTCATCAACTTCTGTAGCCTGTGAGCTAGTGGCCTGCTGTCTTACCTGCTGATCATGGGTTCATCAGCCCATGCAGGTACTTGAGTCTGGAGAAGCCTCCAGCTTGATGCCTGACCCACGGACTCGGGACTTACCAGCCTTTACAACCGTGTGAACCATTTCCTTGAGATAAATCTCTCTATGTGTATATGTGTATATCTATATATACGCTTCACTAGTTTTGTGTCTCTAGAGAACCCAGCCTAAGACATTTGGCACCGAGAGTAGTTCTAGAGAAACAAGGTTGTAAGGATGACTTTTCTAAATTCATTTTCAAGTCTGGTTAGTCTTAAAGATATTGATGACTCTGCTTCCAGTATTAAAGAGAGCCCTACTAATCCATGGCATGATGTGGCAATAGAAAAATGCAAAATATCACCACTAATAGATCAAGTATTGGTGAGAGGCAAGGCTCTAGGTGATTGCCTGTTTGATACTTTTCTACAATATTGTCAGAATGAGAAGTATACAGAAGCTGGTTGCTTGGTCGTACTTGGGCTAGAAAGTTCTGAAAGTAAGAGATGAACTCAGGGCTTCAGAGTCACAGCTCAAATGCCACATAAATGACCTCAAAATTGCCACTTGTGCCATGAGAGAAAGCCTTATTTCTTACAGTAACAGAGCTGATAGACCCAAACTCAGAGTCGAATTGTAAAAGTGGCTGAATTACAATGCTAATTGAATTTCCAACCTTGAAAGGTGTCTGAAGTTAAAGTGAGGTTGTTGACTGGAAAGAAATGATATCCTGAGACTTGGGATAGGGGCATATGGGCAGATAATCAGAGAGCTGAGGAAATTGAGTCCGTAAATTCCATAGAATCACTCCTGCCAACAGAACCAGCCCTCTCACTTCCATCTGAAGAGATTACTCCATCTTTGTCTGCTAAGCCACCCTCCCCAGTAAAACTGTTAGCCCTCCATCCCTATCTGATGAGATTAACCCAGCTGTGTCTGAAGAGCCTTTGTCTGAGTCATCCCCTGAGGAGAGGGCTAAGTCATTGCCTGCAGCAGATGCCTTACAAGACATTGATGAATGTTCTCAGAGCACATCTCTACCACCCATTTTTGCTTCTAGACCTATTACTAGCTTTAAGTTCCAGTGAGCCCCAAAAGGTGAAGTACAAAGTATGACCCAGGAGGAAGCACGCTATACTCCAAAACAACTGCTTGAATTTTCTAATATATACAAACAGAAACCTGGGGAATATGTGTGGGAATGGCTATTAAGGGTGTGGGATAATGGTGCAAGGAACATAAAGTTGGCTCAGTTTGAGTTTATTGATCGGGGCTCACCAAGCACAGATTCTTCATTCAGTGTTTCAGCTCAAGGGTTACGAAATGCTCTAATAGTTTATTTGGTTGGTTCGATAAAGCATGGATTACGTGGTGACCTACACTAAATCAAGCTGAAGTACCAGACCTGCCTTGGTATGCTGTAGAAGAAGGTATCCAATGGCTTAGGGAAATTGGCATGTTAAAGTGGATTTATCAGGTTAGACCCACAGGCCCAAATATGGAGAGCCCAGAGGACACACCTTTTACTACAATGGTGAGGAAAAAATTTGTGAAGGGAACTCTAGCATCCTTGAAGACTGCTGTGATTGTTATTTTATGTAGGTCAGATTTGACAGTGGGAACTGCCCTAACTGAATTAAGACACCTAACTACAAAGGGGCTGATTGGACCCCATAGTGGTAGGGGTCAAGTGGTGGCACTGAATTGACAAAGACAGGGTGGGTATAGTTACTGTAAGGGACAGTGGAGTCAAAGCAATAATCCGAATCGTCTGACTCATACGGACTTATGGCATTGGCTACTTAGTCATGGTGTCCCTAGGAGTAAAATAGATGGGAAATCTACTAAATATTTACTTGATCTGTACAAGCGGAAGAATTATAGGTCAAGTGGGTGGCAGTCTAACTTGAAATGCCAGAATAGAGAGTCATGGCCCCTTAATTCCCAGACATGAGCCAGTTTACACACTCATAATCCCTTAAATGAAGGGGAGGCTGTGTCCCCTTGAGGAAGGGGAAAGTCCCAGTGGACTTTCAGAAATTTATACAGTTAATCTTTCTCCCAGCCTTCCCCAAAGGGATCTATGCTATGGCCTTTTATAAGAGTGATTGTTCACTGGGGAAAAGGAAATAATCAAACTTTTTGGAGATTACTGGACAACAGCTCTGAACTGACAATAATTACAGGAGACCCAAAACATCACTGCAGCAGACCAGTCAGAGTGGGGACATATGGAGGTCAGGTTATTAATGGAGTCTTAGCCCAAGTTCATCTCACAGTAGGTCCAGTGGGTCTCTGAACCCATCCTCTACTGATATCCCCCGTTCCAGAATGCCCAATTGGAACAGACATACTCAGCAACTGGAAGAACTCCCACATTGGATCCCTAACATGTGGAGTAAGGGCTATTATGGTAAGAAAGGTTAGTAAGTGGAAGCCATTAGAACTGCCCCCACGTAGTAAAATAGTAAACCAAAAGCAGCACTCCATTCCCAAGGGATTGCAGAGATTACTGCCACTATCAAGGACTTGAAGGATGCAGGGGTAGTGATTACCACCACGTCTCCATTCAACTCACCTATTTGCCCTGTGCCAAAAATAGATGGATCTTGGAAAATGACTGTGGGTTATCGAAAACTTACCCAGGTGGTGACTCCAATTGCAGCTGCTGTTCCAAATGTGGTTTCATTGTTTGAGCAAATTAATACATCTCCTGGTAGCTGGTATGCACCTGTTGATCAGGTTAATGCCTTCTTCTCCATACCCGTTTTGAAGTACCATCAGAAGCAGTTTGCCTTCAGCTGGCAAGGCTAGCAATACACCTTCAGTGTCCTACCTCAAAGCTGTATCAACTCTCCAGCCCTATGACCTAATTTAGTCTTCAGAGACCTTGTTTACCTTTCCCTTCCACAAGATGTCACACTGGTCAATTACGTTGATGACATTATGCTGATTGGACATACTAAGGAAGAAGTTTCAGTGACTCTAGACTTATTGGTAAGACATTTGCATGCTACCCCAAACCCACTGCCATCGAGTTGATTCTAAGTCGTAGTGACCTATAGGGTTTTCATGGCTGTAAATCTCTGTGGAATTAAACTGCCACATCTTTCACTCGCAGAGCCACTGGTGGTTTCAAACTGCTGACCTTTCAGTTAGCAGTTGATTGCTTTAAACACTGTGCCACCAGGGCTCCTTATTTGCATGCCAGGGGGTGGGAAATTAACCTGACAAAAATTCAGGTGCCTTCCACCTCAGTGAAATTTCTAGGTGTCTGTTGGTGTAGGGCTTGTTGAGATATTCCTTCTAAAGTGAAGGATAAGTTGTTGCATCTGGCCCCTCCTATAACTAAAAAGGAGAAACAATGCCTGGTGGGTGCCTTTGGATTTTGGAAGCAGCATATCCCTCATTTGGGTACTCAAAAAGCTACTAGTTTTGAGTGGGGCCCAGAACAAGAGAAGGCTTTGCAACAGGATCAGGCTACCGTGCAAACTGCTCTGTCACTTGGGTCCTATGATCTGGCTGATCCAATGGTGCTTGAAGTGTCAGTGGCAGATAGAGATGCTGTTTGGAGTCTTTGGCAGGCCCCTATTGGGGAATCACAGCACAGACCCTTAGGATTTTGGAGCAAAGCCCTGCCATCCTCGGCAGATAACTACTCTCCTTATGAGAAACAGCTTTTGGCTTGTTACCGGGCCTTAGTAGAGACTGAACACTTAACCAGGGGCCACCAAGTCATCATGCAGCCTGAGCTGCCCACCATAAACTGGGTGTTGTGTGACCCACAGAGTCATATAGTTGGACATGCCCAGCAGCACTCCATCATTAAATGGAAGTAGTATATACAAGAACGGGCCCAAGCAGAACCTGAAGGCACAAGTAAGTTGCATGTGAAAGTGGCTCAAATGCCCATGGCTGCAGCTATGGCCTCATGGGGACTCCCTTATGATGAGCTGACTGAGGAGGAGAAAACTCGTGCCTGGTTTACAGATGGTTCTGCATGATAGGCAGGCACCACTCGAAAGTGGACAGTGGCAGCACTACAGCCATTTCTAGGACCTCTCTGAAGGGCAGTGGTGAAGGGAAATCCTCCCAGTGGGCAGAACTTTGATCAGTGCATATGGTTGTTCACTTTGCTTAGAAGGAGAAATGGCCAAATGTGTGCTTGTATACTGATTCATGGGCTGTGGTCAGTGGTTTGGCTGGATGGTCAGTGACTTGGAAGGAACATGATTGGATAACTGGAGACAGGGAGGTACAGGAAGAGGTATTTGGATAGACCTCTCTGAATGGGCCAAAGAAGTGAAGATATTTGTGTCTCATGTGAATGCTCACCAAAAGGTAACCTCAGCAGAGGAGGATTTTAACTATCAAGTGGATAGGATGACACATTCTGTGGAAACCTGTCATCCTCTTTCCCCAGCCGCTCCTATCATTGCCCAATGGGCTCATGAACAAAGTGGCGATGGGGGCAGAGACAGAGGTTATGCATGGCCTCAGCAAGATGGATTTCCACTCACCAAGGCTGACTTGTCTACAGCCACTGCTGAGTCCCCAATCTGCCAACAGCAGAGACCAACATTATGTTCCCGATATGACACCATTCCTTGAGGTGATCAGCTAGCGATCTGGTGTCAAGTTGATTACACTGGACCACTTCCATCATGGACAGGGCAGTGTATTCCTTACTGGAATAGACACTTACTCTAGATATGGATTTGCTTTCCCTGCATGCTATGCTTCTGCCTAAAATATCATCCATGGACTTACAGAATGCATTATCCATCGTCATGGTATCCCACACAGCATCACCTCAGATCAATGGACTCACTTCACAGCAAATGAAGTGCAGCAGTGGGCCCATGCTCATGAAATTCACTGGTCTTACCATGTTCCCCATTATCCTGATGCAGCTGGCTTGATAGAATGATGGAATGGCCTTCTAAAGGCTTAATTACAGCACCAGCTAGGTAACAATACCTTGCAGGGTTGGGGCAATGTTCTCCAGGAAGTTGTATATGCTCTAAACCAGTGTCCAGTATATAGTGCTGTTTCACCCATAGCCAGGATTCATGGGTCCAGGAATCAAGGGGTGGAAATGGGAGTGGCACCACTCACTATTACCCCTAGTGAGCCACTCACAAAATTTTTGCTTCCTGTCCAGGTCTAGAGATCTTAGTTCCAAAGGGAGGAATGCTCCCACCTGGAGATACATCACTGACTACACTGAAGTGGAAGTTAATAATGCCCCCTGGCCACTTTGGGTTCCTCATGCCTCTGGATCAACAGGCAAAGAAGGGAGTTACCATATTGGCTGGTATGATTGATCCTGATTACCAAGAGGACATCAGATTGATACCACATAGTGGAGGTAACGAAGAGTATGTCTGGAATACAGGAGATCCCTTAGGGTTTCTCTTAGTACTGTCATGCCCTGTGATTAAAGTCAATGGAAAACTAAAACTACAGCAACCCAATTCTGTGGTCTTGCCCCTTCAGGAATGAATTTGAGTCACCCCAGCAGGCAAAGAACCATGACCAGCAGAGGTACTTGCTGAGTGAAAAGGGAATACAGAATGGGTAATGGAAGAAGGTGTTCTAAATACCAGCTGCGACCACGTGACTAGTTGCAGAAATGAGGAATATTAATTGTTATGAGTATTTCTTCCTTCTATGTGTGCATCACATATTTTTGTTTTCATCACTTATAAAATATAAGATGTAAATGGGGCTAGTTCATTTTCAGTTGTATGCATGTTAGTTATATCACGTTACACACAAGTATGATTTTGTAATTGTCCTTATTTAGAGGTTATGTATGGTTTAAGGAGATGTTACAGGTGCCAAGGTGACAAGGTGTAAACTGTGATGGTTAAGAGTGTGTGTCAACTTGACTGCACCATGATTCTTAGTGGTTGGGAAGTTATGATGTAGTTTGGCAGTTATGTAATGATGTAATTTGGCAGTTATGTAATGATGTAATCAACTCCATGATGAGATCTTCCATGAGCAGCCAGTTAGTTGAAAGGGAGTTTCTTTGGGTTTGTGGACTGCATCCAGTATATAAATGGATCATCCAGCAATGCTTTTGCTCTGGATACTGCATCAGGCTCGTCATCGTCTGACCTCCGGTTCTTAGGACCTGAGCTAGCAGCTTACTTGCCAATCCTGGGATTTGTCAACCACTGCAGCCTGTGAACCAGCAGCATGCTGTCTGACCTGCTGATCTTGTGTTCATCAGTCCTTGCTGCTACGTGAGTCAGGAGAACCCTCCAGCTTGACATCTGACCCACGGACTTGGGACTTACTAGCCTCTGCAAACCATTTCCTTGAGAGAAATGTCTCTCTCTGTGTATATATATATAACCCGTTGCTGTCTATATATGTGTATATATGTATGTGTGTATATATATGTGTGTATACATATGTATATATATATACATATACACATATATATATATATATAAAACCCATTGCCGTCACGTCAATTCCAACTCATAGTGACCCTATAGGACAGAGTAGAACTGCTCCGTAAGGTTTCCAAGTAGCAGCTGGTAGATTTGAACTGCTGACTTTTTGGTTAGCCACCAAGTTCTTAATCACTGTACCACGAAGGCTCTGTGTATGTATATGTATATGTGTATACACACACACACACACACACACACACACACACATGTACATATATAATAACGCTTCATGGGTTTTACTTCTCTAAGGAACTTAGCCTAAGATACTCCCTAAAGTCAACTATCTTGTTTCCAGGGTGTTCTATCTATATGACAAATGTGGTCCTACAGCTCTCAGGCTTAAAGTCCTTCCTGGCCTCCCACACTTTTTGAGGTAATGTTCAGACTCCACAGTGTGGTAGTCAGGCTCTTTGTAATCTGGTCCGGCCCATTTCTCAGTACTCCTTTCCATCAGTCTCTACAAGCTCCTTTCATTCCACCAGTGTCCCCTGGAGCCTTCCCTGGCAGTCCTCCTCCCAGTCTGGTTCCAATGTCCCTCCTCTCAGCTGTCACAGTGCCCTGTGCCTGTCCTCATGAGCACAAAGCAGGGTGTGACTGATGAGTCTGTGTTCCTTCCCTGCTGAGCAATATTTGAGGGCAGAGACTGCTGTGTTACACAAAGTCATACATAGTTGGTGCTCAATAAAGACAGCACAAGTGAATGGTCTTCAGTTCTCTTTGTAATAAAGAAAATAAACGTATATCTTGTTTAAAATCAGGCGAGCACAAGGGCATGTTCATAGGACAGACACAGAGTTTTGCTCCCTTCAGCTTAGAAGGTATTATTTGATGATCGCCTTTTTTCTCATCAAATAGTCAATTCGTTCTTTTTTGCTTAACTGTAATTAGAGATTTTTGCACATACACAAAAGTAGAACAGATTCAGTTTATTCTTGCTCACTGATCATAGTTGAGTCTGAGCCTTCATTTTCTCAAGAAATATATTTTTTTTTTCTAGCTTTGTTATTAAATGAACTGTCCTTTCTCAGGCAAATCATTTGTCTCTTTGAATTTTGTTTAACAAGATGTTAGGTCTTCAGTCAGCACAAGGCACAGATAGCCCAGATCAGATGTGTAAACTCATATAATTTCATCTCTCCTACCTAGAGTGGACAGAGATAGGATGATGGGGCACCTGGATGATTCACTCCAGGAACCAGGCCCTCTCTCTTCCTGCTCATTAGCACGCGACTTTCTTCTTCCCGGTCATAAGTTGGTTCAGACGCTGGAGCCACTATCCAGGCTGGAGGAATGGGTAAGGACAATAGGCAAATAGCCAAAGCTGTGTCCATCTGAAGTTCTGTCCATTTATTAAGAAAGGGAAGCCTTACTTGTGTATCTCACTGGCCAGTCCTGTTTCGTGCTGCTTCCTGCAGCCACAGGAAGGTGCAGAATTCTGCCTTTCCAGTCTCTACATCAGATAACGACAAGGGAAAAGGGTTTGCAATGGGTGTTGAGTGCACTAACCTATGGGGTATGTGTCTTAAAGGGCACAGATTTTGAGTTGATGGGAATTTTTATTTTAATTCCTTGATTTATAAGTAAAATGAAAATTCTCTGTACAAATATGAATTTAGTAAATCATTCAGGTACTACAAATGTTTTATTGGAACAAGGCATGCTCATTTGTTTACATACTGTCTGTGGCTACTTTTAAGCTCCAACAGCAGAGGTGAGTAGTTGTGACAGAGACTGTATAGCCACAAAGAGGTTGGGATGATTACAGATAGAGCAAGTTAGGAAGGGAACATAACAGCTCAGTGATATATGTTACATGGGAGATTTCTTGTCTATGTCCAATGCAGATGTCCAGGAGGCCGTGGAATATGTGAGTCTGAGGTAGAGAGGGGAAGTTCAGCTAGAGATGTGAATTTGGGAATTACTTTGAAAGTCATGAGATTGGATGAGATACCCAGGGAAACTAAGATCACAGATTGAGCTCTGATCACTGAAGCGTTTGGAGGTCAAAGTAATGAAGACAAGCTGGCGAAGGACCTGATGTGGTGTTCCGGAAGCCAAGGGAAGGGTTACGGAGTGACCAACTCTGCCAATATGTCCAGCATGTGAACATGGGTCATGTTTCAACTTAGTATTTGTCCATTTCCTTTGTAGACTGAGGAGAAACCTGTGCAGATGATGTTTAAGGAATCTACATTTAAACTGACTTACATGAAAGAAATATGCACACAAATTCTGGTGCTTCCCAATGTTGGAAAGGAGCTGAACATGATTATCATGCTTCCAGATGAAAACACTGATTTAAAAATGGTAATGAGTGTTAAGCAGTTAATAATCCTTAGTGTTAGCATTGTGCTATGATGGCAAGAGAATTGCATTCAGATTTCTGGGAGAGAGATTTTGAAAGTTAAATCAACAGAACACGGTAATGGATTCACTGGAAAGAGATGAGGGTGAGAGAGAAGGCCAAGGCTGAGATGTCCTAACTTTACATACTTTCAATAAAACAGAATAACAAACTCCAAGAAGAGAGTCATTCTCACAAATGTAGTCTAGTTTCTGCCTTGGGGAACAGGTTCGACTGTCTGGAATTCAGGAGTCAAGGCATAGAAGTGTTGTCTTAGTTATCTAGAACTGTTGCAACAGAAATACCACAAGTGGGTGGCTTTAACAAACAGATATTTATTCTCTCACAGTTTAGGAGGCTAGAAGTCCAAATTCAGGGTGCTGGCTCTAGGGGAAGGCTTTCTGTCTCTGTTGGCTCTTGAGGAATGTCCTTGTCTCTTTGAGCTTCTGCTCCTGTGCAGTCTTTATGTGGCTTAGCATCTCTCTTCCCCTGTCTCTGCTTCCTCGCTTGCTTGTTTAATCTCTTTTATATCTCAAAAGAGATTGACTCAAGATGCACTCCACACTAGTCCTCCCTCATTCACATAACAAAGACAAGCCATTCCCAAATAGGAGTATAACCACAGGCATAGAGGTTAGGATTTATAACACATATTTTGGGAGGACACAATTCAATCCATAAGTGCAAACCCATCTTCTACTTGAATGGTTTAGCATTACTATGCTGTAGTCCATATCTGTGCTGTCCAATATGGTAGCCACTGCCACATGTGGTGATTTCATTTTTTTCTCACAACTTTCTCTGAGATAAAATTCACATACCATACAAATCACCCATTTAAATGTACAATTCAATGATTTTTAGTATATTCATAGATACATGCAGCCATCACAGTGAAATTCGTAAATTTTCAGCATTTGAAGAAAAAACCATGTATCCTTTAGCTATCACCACTCAGTTTCCATCCCGTCCCCAGCCAGTAACGTACCATTGTCTCGATTTACATCTTCTGGATTTTCATATGCTTCAATGGAAGCATAGCTCATGGTCTTTTGTGACTGGCTTTCACTCAGCATAATAATTTCAAGGTTCATCCATGTTGTAGCAAGTGTCAATATATTGTTCATTTTTGTGGACTAACAATATTCATTGTATGTCTGTACCAAATTTTGTTTAATATTTATATTAATTAAAATTAAATATAATAAAATATTCAGGTCTTATACTACCCACATTTCAAATGCTCAGTAGCCACCTTTGGCTCATGGCTGCCATATTGTACAGTGCTGGTGTAAAGCATTAACATCACAGCAGAAAGTTCTTTTGGGTAGCACTGATACAGATCTTAAAATCTCCAACTCTTTTTTTCTAGGTGGAAAACAAACTTACTTATGAGAGATTCATAGAATGGACAAGGCCTGACACAATGAATGAAAGAAATGTGGAAGTTTTCTTTCCTAAATTTAAATTGGAAGAAAATTATGACGTGGAGAATGTCCTTCCCAGTTGGGGCATGGCCGATGCCTTTGACCAGGCCAGGGCAGACTTTTCAGGAATGTCATCTAAGCGAGAACTGTTTTTGTCCAAGGTTGTGCACAAAGCTTTCGTGGAGGTCAATGAAGAAGGCACAGAAGCAGCGGCAGCCACTGCTGCCGTTATGACACTGCTCTGTGGAAGAATCACCCAGAGGTTCTGTGCTGACCACCCCTTCCTTTTCTTTATCCAGCACACCAAGAACAACAGCATTCTGTTCTGTGGCAGATTCTCCTCTCCATCGGAAACGGTAGTCACTGGATATAGAGTGCCCTTCTCCTTTCTCCTCTTGACCTATTTTTCTTCTGCCACTTTACACTGTGCCTACAACCCAGTGACCTTATTAGTGCAGAGGGAGCAATTCAGACATTAAGGGCCCAATTTTTAATTCTGTATTCAGAACTCTTGTGTGTTTGCATGGTGTTTTTCTAGGATCTGCAATTGACATTCTCTGAGTTCTTGTGGTGCCTTTGGCAGTGATAGCACTAGCTACTTAAAACCTCCCTGCTAGCTTGTAGAATTATTCAAACAAACCAATCACATCCTCTCGTGGGAACCAGGGGCACCTCACCCTCTTGTTACTACAAAGCCTAACTCCCACAGCCTCTGCTGGTTCACTCTGCTGCTAAGTGCCACGCTGTGTGGCCCTGCCTGGCATGTGGTGTCCTCCTCCCCCAGGATGTGAGTATATGTGACTAATAAACTGCTGCCAATCTCACATGTCCAGTGTTGGGTATTGTATATGTAGCTATCTCATGTTGTTTAGGTTGCATTATCCCTGCTTCAGCACCAAGGTGAACAGGACTGGATCAGAACACAGGCTTCTTGCTCTCAGAGGTTCTTTTCGTCTGAGTTACTTTTCTTTAGCTGTCTAACAAATTGCCACTGAAGAGTTACTACTCAGTATTATATTACATTTCAGTAAAAGGCACAACCACCCAAATGTTTCCACGTTTTATGAAATTGCACTAGAAGACATTTCCATGATGTTGTGCAGTGTTTCTTGAAATCATCCACAAAATGAATTCCTCCTAGAACATAATTCTTGGAAAAAGTTGGCCTCACCCATTCACAAATGCTTACTGAACACTTGCTTTAGATGGTGTTTCACACAGATGATTTTATTTAATCCTTAGCAGTAAATAAACTCAGGAGGAATCTGAGGCTTGGGTTTTAACTGCAACCTGATCTCTGAGGCCCAACACAGGCACAGGGAATCACTGTCTCCTCACGCACAGGTCCGCAGTGGCATCCTCTTGCATTTGCTTTCAGGAACGAACTGCGAGAGATGCAGGCTACAGTGTGGAATCAGTGTGAGTAAAACACAAACAACAACCTAGAACTTTAAATAGGAGAAGTTTTACAATCCTTTGCAATAAGAAGGGTAGTGGCCACCGACATCGGAAAATTACTGAGGCTTATTATCTTTTAATTACTTTTAATTACTTTAAAAAGGGGTTAATTACACCTTTGCATATTCTTTTCGTTTTCTAAAAGGCAAGTATTCCAAATGTGCCAACTTTTTCTGTGATGACAAATGGTGGTCAGTTGAACACCTAGCAGATATTTTTGAAAAAATACAATCTATTGCTCTCTCAGGTAAAGGTACATCTTAACCATGAAAGAAAAATTAACTGCTGCTTCTTGAAAGAGTGTGGACTGGTCATTTTGGAAATACTTATTTGGTATTTCCATCATTATATGATTTTATTGCTAAAACAAGGATGATAAAACTTTCATATGAGGGACACTTTAAAAACTTGGAAATGTAACTTTCTAGTCATAAAAAAAGAGGTTTGGTTGGCTTCAAACTTAAAAATACGAAAATACAACATTAAAAAAATTAGTTTGCAAGAACAACTGATTTTGATGAGGATAAATGGATTTCTACTAGCTGGATTTCAAACAAAAATTTTTGCGTATTAGTAGGTGGACTGAAAATCAAGTGTCAAAAGTTTAATAAGTACAACCAATGATGCCTTTATTCCTTTAAATCAACCCATCCTCCTGAGAAACCTTTTCCCAGTGACAGCCATCAGTCCAAGCTTAGAAATAAACTGAACTTAAAACCAGTTCTTTAAAGTACTATATTCCAAAGCACTAAACCTGGATTTAAAGAAAAACCAGATACCCAATCACATTGCTCTCATTCAATTTCAAAATAATTTTCCTGAGCACAGGTGTTGTGTATTTCTAATACTTTTTTTCTTTCTCATTTTAATTTTTTATGTTTTGTACTATTTATAACATTAGTATTTAGCATATTAGCATATATAGATTAATAGAGTTTGGGGATGGGTGCTCAAACATTAAATCGATTGATTGGTACCTGATCAAACACTTTGGAACCACTGGCTTGTGCTTAAGGTCCTGGGTGGTGCAAATGGTCTGTGCTCAAATACTAACCCAAAGGTGGGCAGTTCGAACCCACCCAGTGGCATGCTAAAGAAAGGCCTGGCGATCTGCTTCCCGTAAACATTACAGTCAAGAAAACCGTATAGAGCACAGTTCTACCATGTAAAACATGGGGCCGCCATGAGTTAGGATCGACTGGAAGGCAACAGATGGCTTGTGCTTAATTTTCAAAGTCAAGTCTCCTTTTCGGAACTACTCTGGCACACACACGCTGAACAGGAGGAATATTGTGCCTAAAACCAAAAATAAACAAATAAAAATTAAAACAAAAAAACCCAAACCCGTTGCCTTTGTGTGGATTCCGACTCACAGCGACCCTATACTGACTCCATATGACAGAGTAGAACTGCCCCATAGGGTTTCCACGGAGCAGCTGGTGGATTCGAACTGCCGACCTTTTGGTTAGCTGCCAGGCTTTTAACCACTGCGCAACCAGGGCTCCAGTACTGGGCCTACTAGCCAGGAAAACCACCCAAGCCCCAACTGGGGAAGCCATCCTCAGAAGGGCGGGCACTCACCGCCCATCTGTTTGCCCTCGGGGCCGCAGGGCAGGACGACAGAATGCCGCGAAGGCCTCTTCCTGAAGGCGGAAGGCTGCACAGGCCGCCTCTCTGAGTCACGCCCGCAGCCGTCACCCAGATGCAGGCGGGCGGCGAGCAGCAGCAGCAGCAGCAGGAGCAGCAGCAGCAGCGGCCTCGGCAAAAGGCTCCAGGTACCGGGCAGGGGGCGTCGGTCCCCAGGTTCCCGCGGTGACACCTCTTCACCGGAGCTCTGGGGCATCGGGGGACCGCAGAGGGGAGTGAGGCCGGCGGGAGGCGGGACCGAGAGGAAGACAAGCGGGGGAAAAGGAATGGGAGGAGGACGGCGGGAGGTGGCGAGAGGGGCGCGACGGGTCACACCGGGCCCCAGCCCTATGGGCTCCGGTTCCTGCGAGGTCGAGGCCGGGCTGTGGCAGCGGGACCCTGAGACCTGGAGTGGGAACTTTGTGCAGAGGCCGCGCGGTGTGAGGACGTCGCTGCTCCGCGATTCGCGGCCGGGTGGATCGGGAAAGAGCGGGACTGTGACCCAGGCCTTGGATTTGTTGCTCGAGGCGGGTGGGCGAGAACTTTCGAAGCGTGAGTGGTCGGAGCCGGCGGTGCGGCTGGAAGGACCTGGCGCAGAGTAAAGCCCCTCCTGGAACTCGGGACCTGGAGCGAGTGCGGAACCCGCCGGGTCACAGGGAGCCCGTCCGCAGGATCCCTCCGCTGGTTGGCTTATTGCGTTTTTTCCTTCCGTAGTTCTTCGTTCCTCCTTCCTCCCTTCTTCTCTTCCTTGTTTCTTCCCTTCATTCCTCCTTTTTTCCTTCCACATCTTTCATCGTTTTCATTGGCTGCATCTCCTCAACATTAAAAAATGCTTCTTTGCTGGATTTCCCCTCACATCCGAGCTGCAGGGGTCTTTCCATGAAGTCTTCACTACCCGGATTCTCCCTCGCCCCTACGCTGGGCTCCTCTCCTGTGTGGCGGTGCTCCCAGGCCTGCCTGCCCCACCTGGCTGCTCTCCTGCCCAGCTCCTCCAGCCACCCCTTGGGGGCGCTGCCACAGCTCTTCCAGCGCCTCACACACCCTCCCACTTCTCCCAGTACAGCGCCGAGGGCTGGGGCGCAGTCTTATTTTCTTCCTCTTACTGCCTCCAAACTGTGGGGATTGCCCAGTTAGGCGAATTTCTTCTCTGTGTCACCGTGTGTTCTGAGTGATTCATCCACTCACGTGGACTCTCCTGGCATCTGTATGCTGATGGCTCCCAGCGTCCGGCCCTAGAACTACTAGATTTACGTTTCATCTGAATTTTAACGAAATTTACAACATCCCTGGCCTGTCTTTGGTTACTGGTTCAATTGGTACACTCCACAAATCTCAAATGGAATGTATCACCTTCAGCATTCCAAGCTGGCTCCTTCACTTAACCAATGAATGGTTCGCGATGCACCCTAACGCTTAGTGGTTAAGAGCTGGCTGTTAACCAAAAGGTTGGCAGTTGGAATCCACCAGCCGCTCCTGCTCCTTGGAAACCCTGTGGGGCAGTTCTACTCTGTCCTAAAGGGTCGGTATGAGTCGGAATCCACTCAACGGCAAGTGTTTGGTTTTTTCTTTTATGAGTGAGCCTCAGAATTGTCCCTGCTTCCGCCTCCTCCCTCACGCATCTGTGACCAGCCACCCAGCCTGGCGATTCCGTCTCCTCCCTTTGCAACACAGACGTTTCCTCTGCATTGCAGCGTCTCTGGTCTATGGTAGGGGTCCGCCAACAGGTTCCCCAGCCTCTTGCCACACCAAACAGTGAGCCACATTATTTTTCTAAAACTCCAAAGTGCTCATACCAAACATTTGTTTAAAAACCACACAATGCTTTCCAGACCATAAGATCAAGTCCAGAATCCAAACCTGGCATCAAGAACCCTGACCATTTTGGGGCCCCGTCCAAAAGCTCTAAATAAATGCTCCTTGAATAAATTCATTTATGGGAGTATGTATGGGAAGAAGAGGGAGTGCAGTAAGAAGTTCACAGGAGTACACGCTCATCAAATCAAAAGACAACCAAACCCACTGCTGCTGAGTCCATTCCAACTCCTGGCCACCCCATGTGTTACAGGAAAAGAATAATGCCACCTACCTTAAAGCAGGAGGCTTGTATTGAGGCTAATTCTGCCAGTCTTGCTGTGAGACCTACCAACAGTAATTTAATTGTCCCAGGCCTTGTTTGTTTAAACTAGTTTAATGCCAGTTAATTTTAATGGCTCCAGATCACAACTTTCCACCTGGCAGTGTTTTTATGACACTGTCAAATTGTGGTACTGGCACCCATAGATATTATTTTGTCTTATTGAAATTAATGCCTTTTTAGATTTACTGAGGAAGGTCCATTTGTTAAAAGTCTGAGCCATCTCAAAAGCTTTAATGTACAAGTGAGATTGGAGCACCAAGAAGAACAGGAGAGTGAATTCCAGCCTCTGTCTGGCCATTGCTGAGAGCTGGGGGTAAGGGCAAAGATTTCCTTGCCTTTTCCATCTTCTAGAAGCTCCCCACATTTCTTGGTTCATGGCCCTGCCTTACTCCAAAATCTGCTTGCAGGGTCCCATCTCTTTCTCTAACTCTGACCCTCCTGCGTCTCTCTTATAAGGACCCTTAAAATCACTTTGAGCCCACCCTGATAATCCAGGATACCATCCCCATTCCCCCTCCCCGCCATCTCAAGAGCCTTAATTCAGTTACATCTGAAGATTCCCTTTTGCCATGTAAGATAACTCAGGTTTCAGGGATTAGGACGTGGACTTCTTGGGGGGCCACTATTCTGCCTGCAACCACGGGTGCCCACCAACAGGGGTAACAATGACTCAGTGATTAACCAAGGCTTGATGCAAGTGCCTCTGTTCTGTGCTCTTGCTCAGATCTTCCCTGATGGATCATCTCTGTGAAGCAAATGGCACTTTTGCCATCAGGTTATTGAAAATGTTAGGTGAAGAGGATAAGTCACGGAATGTGTTCATCTCTCCGCTGAGCATCTCCTCTGCCCTGGCCATGGTCTTCATGGGGGCAAAAGGAAACACTGCCACCCAGATGTCCCAGGTACGTAAGCCTGCCCCAAAGGAAGAACAATGGCATGTTTGTTTTCCTACTTCCATAAAACCAGTCGTCATCCAGTTGATTCCGACTCACAGTTTCCTCATATGTGTCAGAGTAGAACTGTGCTCCATAGGGTTTTCACTGCTGATTTTTTTGAAGTGGATCACCAGACTTTTCTTTCGAGGTATTTCTGGGTGGACTTGAACCTCCAAACTTTTGGCTAGCAGCTGAATGGTGTTAACTGCTTGTACCACTGGGGACTCCCCTACTTTCATAGAGCTGGTCTTTTCACACTTTCACCCCAGCTGATGAAAGCCAGCATGGCCTGTAGGTGTGAGGAGGGAATACACAGTGATGGAAATAGGGCAGACATGGATAGGAAGGTAAATTGTGTAGGATAGGTAATCTCCCCATAATGTTTATGGGAGAAATCAAGTAATTAAGTTATTCTCTCTAGATAAAAACATCAATAAATTATAGCAAAGTAGCATCTTTGGTAAGTCAGGTAGTGCTATAATTCTGATCACAATAAGGCACAGAATTTCAACTTTGTTATATTTTTAACTTTTGCTAAAATTATTCTCAAAACTGAAATGCATCTGTGTGAGTGGACTTTCTGTAAAATTGATTATTTTTAGTATATAATTACGCATGAGTGAAAGAATACAACAAAAATATGGACTTATATTTTCTGGAGTTATTTAGAAAGCAGTTATTTAGAGGTATTATTTAGTTATTTAGACATAATACTTAGTTATTTAGAGGTAATATATAATCTGATTGATCTGAAATAGGTTATGTGTGACTTTGTCTACAAGTGAGGTAGTGGGTGATACTTTAGGGAAACAGTCCTTAACCTTTTTGAGTCTTAGGTTCCTTTGAAAATCTGGTGAAAGGGCCCCAGAACACTGCCATATGCCCAGCATTTTGCTAACACTGTTCGGGGTGAGGAGCCCTGGTGGCACAGTGGTTAAGAACTCGGCTGCTAACCAAAAGGTCAGCAGTTCGAATCCACCAGCTGCTCCTTTGGGATGTATGGCCACTGCCCTACGGTGCATCTATGGACCCCAGCTGGAGAGCCTCCTGCTGTTTCGCACAGCTCACTGACGAGTCAAGTTTGGTCGAGGGTGAGAGGGAGATAAAGGAGCAACCTTCATTCCCAATCTGACTTGACGTTTAAATCACGGTCTGATCTGGAGAGCTTCCGTAAAATGGCTGATTCATTTTCATTTTTGCTCTTTCTTGCATCCCCTGGGGCCATGTTAGAGTAATCCCAACTACATATTTTTTTCTGTTCTGTCTCCTGTCCTGAGTTATCACATCCATGCCTCTCTGGAATGGATAAATCTGCTGGATCAGTGTTACCACCTGCGGGCAATTTGGCCTCTTAGCCGACACTTGGCAAGATCTGCGGTTTTGGTTGTCACAACGGAAGGGCGCTACTGCCATCTAGTGGGTAGAGGCCAGGGATGCTGCGAAACAGTCTACAATGCACACAGGTTGTTGCCACTGAGACAATTTCGACTCATGGCGACCCCATGTTTGCAGAAAAGAACTTTTCCATAGGGTTTTCTTGGCTGTCATCTTAACCGAAGCAAATCTTTCTCCCTCAGTGCTGCTGGGTGGGTTTGAACTGCCAGTCTTCAGGTTAGCAATCTAGCACAAGCCATTTGTGCCACCCAGGGACTTTCAATGTACAGGACAGACCCCATAACAAAGAATGATCGGACTTCAAATGCCAATGGTGAAGAGGATGAGAGACCCTGTGCTAGACAATTCAACCCAGCTCACTTCAGGATAGGAACCTGTGTGATGTTCGGTACAGAGATTTGTTTGGAGACAGCTCTTTGTGGGAGGAAAAGGGTAATGTTAAATTTGGTGGTGTTGTTTTCTCTTGACAGGCCCTTTTTTTAAACAAAGATGGAGATGTTCACCCAGGTTTCCAGTTGCTTCTCACTGAAGTTAACAAACCCGGATCTCAGTACTTGCTTAGAACTGCCAACAGGCTCTTTGGAGAAGAAACATGTAATTTTCTTTCAGTAAGTAGTATTCAGACATTGACAGGAAAGAAACTGAAAATGAGAGACAAACTGCAGGGGAGCAGAGACTACCGTGTAACCTACTCCCTTAAAGATGTTCTTAAACCTGTACTGCTATAATTTTGAATTTTAAGATTGCTTCTGAATTACGTCTTTTTAAAAATTATCATTATTGGTTCTGATACATGCCTCCGTGAGGTGTGTCTCAATGTGTCCATCCTCCCCCTCCCATGCCCAAACCTACTTCTCCGCCTTGATTCCTGATCCGTAAGTGACTACATGGTCCAACATGTTGTGCAAGCAGAAGATTATCTATCTTAGCTTCCTCCTCAATCTCAGTTCTGGTTGTTCTTCTGGTTCCAGCTGAGTTAGTCTCTTAAAAAACAAACAAACAAACCCATTGCTGTCGAGTCGATTCCAACTTACAGTGACCCTACAGGACAGAGTAGAACTGCCTCATAGTTTCCAAGGAGCACCTGGTGGATTTGAACTGCTGACCTTTTGGTTAGCAGCCATAGATAGCACTTAACCACTATGCCACCAGGGTTTCCACCAGTTAGTCTCTTAGGATCTCTTAGGTTTACCCCCTTTTCTGAACTGCCATTGCCTGGACTCTGATTTTTGCCATATTGTCACCATCATTTTAATTGCTTCATAACTGGTCTCTCCGAGTCCTTCCTGATCCTTCCTTCTGTATAATAAATCTGCACTACTGGCGGAATGTTGTTATTGTTGTTGGTTGGTGTTGAATATTCTAAAATAAAATTTCATGAAAATGAGATTTTAAATTTAGTAACTTCTATTTACTTCAGCATGTAACTCCAAAGTACCTTAGTTTAGTAAAACCCTGCCATATGCAATAAGAGAAGTTCAACAAAACTCTACCACATAATATGCAAGATGATGTTATATGAAATGATTGGGGCGAGCCTGGCTGTCTTATTGGCTGGGAACTCCAAGTATTCTTCTGTAAGATACAGACAACAGCCCTGGCTGCTGTTGGCTGCTACCCCATAGAGGTTGTCTGTTCTGGGCTTAAATACCTTTGGGGATGATTCTGGGCCCTTCCTCTGGCTAGGTCTTCCAGGATAAGCACTACTGACTCCAGAAATCTCCTAGTTAATCGATGTTCATTTTTAAACATCAGCCTGATTTTGACTTGATCTTGGAGAATACTGGGGACACAGGGAACCACCCTCCACCTTTCTTGGTTACTTGGCTCCTCCTCCCCTCTACATCCTCTTTGAGAACAGGAGATGGGTGGACAGTGGGAGCTAACTGCCAAACATGTTATACCTGAAACTAAGTTATTGTGGGGTGAGTTGTCTCTGGATATACATATATATATATGTATGTGTATATATATATATATATATGTATATATATATATAAATTTTAT